TAAAAATATTATTGTCATAAGGCCATTATCATTGATTCATTTAGTATTAGCCTCAACGCATACTGTATATATAGAGGAAAACATAGAATATGAAGAAATTCTCGCAAATAATGTGCTTATTTCAGAAATCTTTAAAGCAATATTTGAACCTTAATAACGATGTTTCTAAGCAAGCCAAAAAACAATTTATTGCTGCATTATTCCTTAATACCGATACCAAGTTAATACTATGATAATAAAGAAATTGTCGAATGTTTATTGAGATTGAATGTAATGTTATATTTCATATTTGTGCTCTTAATAGTATGGTAAAGCTTTGTGCATAGAGACAATTCTTTAAAGTTGAAAAAAGAACTCACAGAATTGAACAAAAAAAAAAAAAAGTAATAACCAGTAGACTTTCCTTTGGCTGGCTGTTTCAAAAAACCAAGAATTATTCGAAATTCATGTAACCTATAAAGTTCTTTTAAGCGAATTATTATAGGGAACTCAAATTTGTGTATTTGTTCAATAGTTTGAAAATTTTAAATACTTTTGATTGAGAAAGAGTCATTGCCATCTATAGCATGGTACATGTTAAATGAAAAATATAAGGTTTGTTTACAGTTATAAAGTGCTCTTTTAAAAGTTTTTTTTTAAACATTTTACCAGAATTATTTTTAATTCAATTTCTCAAAGCACTACAGCACTAGTATTCACAATATGTGCTTAATAATAACTACTTCAGTATTGCCAAGATATATAACTGATAACACAATTATATATTATACACGTTTAATATATAAAATAACTGTTATATACTAGTCCGAAGGACTAAATATAAAAAAAATTAATCTGATTTTTACCGTATCTAGCCAATAAGCATCGACCACCTATTGTTTCTCTTTCATGTTACACCTAATCTAGCCAATCAAAATCCGGAATTTGTTAACACACAGACATCGGATGTACTATTGCTCTACCTGTAGTATCCTTCGGACAATTACACAAAATTTTATTTATTCATTTGTCTAAATTGGTTATTGCTTCTGCTTTTTCATTAACGAAAATTTAGAGCTTCTTTTTTCACGCCAATATTCTCAATGACCAATTTGTTATTAGTCATTGCTTTGAGCTATTCTCTTTGGTAAATTGTATGTTATACAAAAATTGTTGGACATCCAAGGCCGTGTTTAAGTATGTCAATCTTTGAATGTCTATTATTATGTTTACTGAATTACATTAATATTTTTGCTTAGAAAATTAAAATTGTCATAATAAAATTTTATTTTTTTAGTTATTTATTTTTTTTATTGTTAAAATGTCCAAAGAATGTATGGCTCCTTCATCAAACAAAAATATAATAGATTCATATTGTGCATAAATTCTGAAGTAAATGGTGAACTGCAGCAAAGGCTATATTAAGTGAGAAGACCCAAGATAAGTATATTCAATAATATATAGTTATCATATAAAATAATTGATTTATTTTATAAACTGATAATATTAAAGCATTAAATAATTCTTAGTATAACTATTTAAAATGATATAATCATTCTAATTGAAATTAGATTATTGGGTTATTGATAGTAGGTGGTTTCAGAGTTACTTATTTTGAAAAGTCCTGTTTTTGTTTTGAAATTTCTAAATCAGAAAATGAAAAAGGAGTTGTCCGAAGATAAAATAAGCAAACTTTTTTTAAGGATATATATATATATATATCTTATTATGTAAATAGGCTTGCAAATAAAAATAAATAAGATTTATTAATACGTCGCTAATTTAATTCGAAATCAGAAACCTGAACCTTACGTCTGAAACCCCCTAGAATTTGTAAGTAAACTCAAGCTCAATCAGCATTTGCAGTCTGATCGATCGAATGTTGATAAAGAATGCCATCAATTAATAACCAGTACGGATTCAGCAAAATTGATAGGCAATTAATCTAATCTAGTTTTAACTAAGGCGAACTTATATGAGTAATCAAATGGAATAGGCAGAAAAAAGAAAAGCTAGAAAGGATTCTCTTTCACAAAGCTTCAAGTCTCAATTACTATAAGATTCTATTGGATTTATTGGAAAATTATCTAATAACTATGGTAAAAAGACTTTTTAAAATTATAAAATTGAAACATAAAAAAATGAATTCATCAGATCATTTCAAATTCAGCCCTTAACAAAAATTATTATTATTTTTTTCTTTGTCTTTAAAGTTCTTAAAATCTATTAAAATATAATTTCATTAGGATTTCTAAACCCTTTTTTATTTAATTCATACTATCGTGAGGAATAAAATAATATCTAATAAAAATATATTAACATTTTGACATCATGCTTTTTTACTAATTTGGAATATTTCGTAGTCCTCTAATGAAAAATAAGATTTATTATCCCAATTTACAGACACATTTCTAATTGCTTTTTCAAAGTTACTTCCATGCTTACAATAACTTTTATTTGCGCTATTAAAACTAACAAGATCGTAATAAAACGCTGGTCCAATAACTACATTATTCCAAATTGCTACATGTTTTGGTTTTACACGACTTAAAATCGAATTTTGGATAGTACCATTTCTTAATGAAAAAATAAAACATTTATCGCAATATTTATAGCTATAACCTAAAGATTTGTCCTTTTCCCATCCAATAGGATTATACCCACCAAGAATTTCATCAGTGTTTTTAACTTTTATAATCAAAATGATATTCTCTTTCTTGTCACATAAATTCCAAAACACTTTAGCAGTAAAACCATCTCTGCTTCCACGAAGGAGTAATTTAAATTCATATGGATTATTTCTCGTAGAATATGTGGTAGTTCTTTCATCAACCCATGAAGTAATTTCTGCTGCATGCTCTTCGTTAATAATTGTTGAAAATGATTCTGTCATTCTTATTGGCAATATTGGCGTTAAAATAATTCGAGGTGGAAGGATTATTGATGATATTGGCCGATTCGGATCCACAATCCTTTTCATTATATCTTTCCAAAGAGTTTTTTCTAGGATTGGTTGATATGGTTGCACATTATCAGCAATATCGGTAGCAGATATTTGGAAATAACGAACAAGAGATAGACAATTTTGCAAAGTAGTTTTTAAAGCTTGAAAATTTTCAGTTGTCCAATTTACAGTATCTGATGGTAAGCCAGGGTTTTGGGCAATTCCCCATTTAATTACGTAATTCCAAATTTTTCCTTCTTCCATTTGTAAATCATCTCGTTTAATAAGAGAGATTAATGCATTTTCGTGAAGAGTAGTAAAGTCTTCAGAGTCAAAAATTTTATTTGGATATTTTACTACAATATCGTTACACCACTTTTGTAATTCTTGAAGTTGATTATTCTGAAAACTTTTTTGATAAATTTCAGAGAAATGTAAACGAAGCCAATGAGGTTGTTCTTTAATTAAGTAAGATTCAAGATGATTAGCTAACTCATTAAGAAAAAACTCATGAGCGAGAAACATTAACTTGAGAATAAATGATGCATCATGGTCTTTTAGCAAAATCACGCCTCCATATATATATCTTTATTAATTTAATAATAGGATTAATGTTTTTAAGCAAAATAAAACAATTAACAAAATTCATTAAATAGCTTACTTAATAATAACTTCAAATTGTTGAATGGAGATATGCTTTAAATTAATTGTTTTAATATTATTTTCATCTTTGCTAACGGTTGACAGCTTATTACGAAAATATAGAGATCTATATTTCAAAATAACCGAATGTGCTTGGAATATTTTAGTGTCAGGAGATTCTCCAACTATAATAATTATATTAAAATCTTCTTTATCATCAAGTAGTTCAAGGTAATCATTTGAAAGTTTGTCAAGAAATTTTACTGCCATTTTTTATAATTTAAGTGAGTGCAAATTCGGATTTGAGTTAACTATTATTTATATTTTAATGTAGATCTATACTATATTAAAGGAAAGTTTAACCAGGATACAAAGATTGCTGTACCAGTGTAACATTAAAATTTCGAGATTCGATTGGCCATGTAATAATCGAACAAGTATGTATATTGTTTTTCTTTATTAATGCTAGAATTTCATATCGGATTGATTCAGTCTTAGATTTTTATTTGGGATTTATTTAAAGTTAATGGATAGGATTTACCCATACTACTGGTAGTGCAATATACTACTGAGTGCGCTTTTTACTTCTAATTATCTATTAATTTTAAGTAAATATTACCTTTATACCAATGGATATGCATATCCGGGTACCCCTGTAAAAGAGATAATCAATTGATGCTCTAGCGGTAGTTAAATTTAACTACCGCATATATATATTGTCTAGTATATGTATTATCACATGAGTTAGTAACACAAACCTATCTTTCTTATTAAACGACTCAAACTTTCGCTTCTTTCGCTTTCGCTTATGCTAAAGCCACAATTAATGACCAACCTGTAATTAAGATCAAACCTGTAACTAGTAACCAACCAAAAACTAAAGCCCAACTAGTTACCAACTCACCAACTTGTTACAACAGATTAGCAAAAAAAAAAAAAGAATATCCTAAACCGAAACTAATGCACAACATAAAACTAAAACTTAATCTCAGACAGTAAGTCTTTACGATATTATGAAAGAGCACTGCAATATATATTCAAATATTATTCAAGCTTTAAAAAAAAACTTACTTTGCTTATTAAAGACCAACTTGAAACTAAAGCCCAATTCGAAACTAAACTAAAACCCAACTTGAAACTAAAGCTCTATTCGAATCTAATAAATATTTAAGGTAACTGTATATATATTAACTCTGATCTGAAAACTTCAAGTAAAAGATGAAAAATTATAAAACTTTTTTTATATTTTTTTATTAAGAAAAGCATATATGAAAGATCAACTCGGAACTAAAGACTAACCTGAAACTAAAGTACAATCGCCCAATTTGAAACCAATAAATCTTTAAGGTAAATAGAAATGTTCTAAAAATTTTGAAAAACAAAAAAAATTTATAATACATTCATTATACATATTCTTTTATTTAAGAAAGTGCATATGGAAGATCAACCTGAAACTAGCGATCAATTTATAAGTAAAGACCAGTTTGCGTCTGAAGACTATGATGATCTTAATGCAATATTTGAATCGCAGGATATATCAGGAGAATTATATCAATATATTGAGAATGATTCGTATGAAAATAGTTGTGAGAAAGAATTGTATAGTGATTGGTATGAAGATAGTTGTGAGGAAGAATCGTATAATGATCGGTATGAAGATAGTTGTGAGGAAGAATCGCATGATCAGTATGAAAATAGTTATGAGGATAATGAGACGGATGATAGTATTTTAAAGGAAATTTATAGCGGGCAAACATTTGGAACATTTGAATTACTTGAAAAATGTTTGAAACGATTTGCCAATCAAAAGGGTTTCGAAATAAGAACTGTAAGAGCCGAAAAAGATAATGGTAAATGGGCACGAAAGACATATAAATGTCATCATGGTAAAAAATATATACCTAAAAAAAAAATTGATCCTACACAAACCCGAGACAGAGAATCAATTTGTATTGATTGTGATTTTATGGTAAATGCATCATCGTAAATCTGAAAATCTAGTATTCATTAACAAATTCGTTAATAAACATAATCATGAGTTACAAAATCAAGACTCTCTTCAAGAATTTTCACCATCACTACGTAAAATACCTGATCATATAATGAATGAAATACAATTTTACGTTCAAGAATGTCAGCTTGGAGCAACAGTTTTAAAAAAAATATTGAGAAATAAATACCCAACTCAAGCTATTTATCGTCAAGATCTTTACAATGCAATACAGAAATTTAAAGCTAATGCACAAGTTAAAAATGATGCTGCAACACTTCTTGAACATTTGATTCAATTATACTCTGAAGATCCTGAATCTTATTTCAAGGTTGACTTTGAAAGTATTGATAATAGACTATCTAAAATTTTTTGGATATCTTCCGAGCAAAGGCAATTGTGGATTCGATATCATGATGTTGTTATAAATGATAACACATGTAAAACAAATAAGTATTCAATGCCTTTAAATGTGTTTATAGTAATTGACTCTGAAAAACGAAGTCGTATTGTAGCAACAGCAGTAGTATGTGATGAAACAGTATCAACCTATGAATGGATTCTTGAACAAACAAAGCATGCAACAGGAAATATTCAACCAAAAAATGCTTTTTACCGATGCAGACCCAGCAATGCAAGCTGCAATTAATAATCAATATCCCCAAACAACTGTGAGACATTGTGCTTTTCATATTTGACAAAATTTAATAAAAAAAATTAAACCAAAGCTTCAAAATGAATGGGATACCTTTATTACTGATTTTTATACTTTATGTCTTACTAGTTCAATTTTTGAATGTCGCTGGATAAATTTGATAACTAAATATCCAGATATTCAAAAATATTTTGAACGTGTATTGTATCCAAGCAAAACATGTTGGGCTCATGCATATACCAAACATAGCTTTTCAGCAAATACACATTCAACTCAACGTGTAGAAAGCTTAAATAAAGTTATAAAATTAGAGGCTAATTCAGGAAATTCCTTGTGTCAACTCCAGTATGGAATTGAATTATGACTAAAAGATGAAGCCAAGTATTCTAGGTGGCAAGAATTTCGAAATATGAACCCTACTACTGGAGTTCCTCGGGTTTCTAATACGATTTTTAAATCTATAGATGAAATATTTGAAAAATATCTTACACCGAATTCATTAGCAGTGCAACGTAGACAAATAGTAGAAAGCTTATTATATAGAGTTGAAATAAAAGAACTTGATGATATTATTTTACAAGGATTAGATCAGTATAACATAGGGTTTCTTGAAGATGATTATGAAGAACCGCAAATTTTAATTAGCATGGCTTTAGAGAATTGTTCTGAGAGTGTTGTAAGTGAAATTTGGGAAGTGAAACATCTAAAAACGGTTACAAATAAGTCTCAATATATAATTTTATTCGATGATGGCACACATTATTGCACCTGCCTTTATTTGATTTATACAGGATTTATTTGTAGACACTTTTTTGCTATAATGCTTCAATCAAAAAAAGCACAGTTTAATATTAAGCTTGTACCATCAAGATGGTATTCTAAAGAAGGACTTTTATTAAAAGAGAATGAGCAAGAAGAATCAATTTGGTTGATTCAAACAGAAGCAAAATTGCAAACTGGTACTTTTCAAACTTTAAACAATATTCGTGGACAAGAGATATCTAATAAATATTCTATAAGTTCAAATTCAAGAAAAGATTTATACGGCCATGGTATTGGGCTCTGTAAAAAAGCCTTAAATTTAGCGATTTCAAATAATTCTACTCAAGCATTTGAAAGAAAGACTTTTACAACAGTTTATTGAACAACAGTTTAATGAAAAGCAAAATACTTTTAATTTACAAAATGATAATTTAACAGAATTACCTGAAAATACAAATAGCATCTATAATATTACAGATCCACTTCAACATAAAGGAAGAGGGCGACCTGCAAATAAAAGATATTTGTCGGCTATTGAAAATCAGTCTTCAAAAGAAAAAAAGAAAAATAAAAGACAATGCTCTATATGCAAATCTTGGTATCATGATTCAAGAAATTGTCCTGTAAAAGTTAGTCAACATAATAAGGAAAATAATTAAATGTATCAGTCAGTTTGACTTGTTTATAGTCTTAAAATTAAAATAAATCGTTTCATATTAGGCTTTTTATATATGTCAGGTATTTACTTAAAGCAACCAGTGATAATGATCACTATACTAATGAGTGCCGCAGAAGAAAAGCCTAATAAGAATTCTATTTTGCAGCACTCATATGTTGTGTAAATCGATACGATGGATGACTCGTCCGAGAGTACAAGTTGTGTGCGCACATAGCTAATTTAGAAATACGCTCTGCGAGACAACTGCCTAGGTGTGAGCGAAGCGAGCACCGTATGGCAACTATATAATGACCTGACAGAAAATATTAAGAGCAAATAGTATAGCTACGTAGTATCTTTCATTTGGTAATAAATTATGCGCATGACAAATAAAGTTTAGCTAATATACTATATTAGCAAATTCTTATTTGTTACATTTGAAGATTGGTTACACTTTATGTAGATATCGGTTATTTTAAAAAATTTATATAAATATTTTTTTTAGGGTTAGGGTAGGATATGCATATCCCCGGCATGAATTAAATTTGTTCTAATTTTAAAATTTAATTACTTTTTTTAAACATATATTTTAAACATCTTCAATTTTGGCATTCTATATTTATTATTTGAAAGCTGAGTTATTTTTTATAATTTATAGAAATTTTTTTGTAATCGAAAAGTTTATTTTAGACTAATTTTATATAGTACTATATTTACTAGTTATCTTATAAAATATTTTTAGTAATTAAGATTTTTTTATTATATAAATTTTTTTAATTTTTAATTAAGTTATAAAGACAAGCTAGTTAGTTTAAATGATAAAATTTGGCTAAAATTGGATTAATACATAAAAAGTAATTTAAATTCAAAGTTTTTACTAACAAATATAGTATTATATAAAAAAAAAATTAAAAAATTTAATCAATAATATTCTTTTAAAATATAGTTAAAACTAAAGGGCTTATATTAAATACTAAAAATAGTAATAATTTTCAACTAACAGCTTACAAACCTTTATAGTTAAAGTAATTGATTTTATAGTAAAACTTATAATAAAAATTTAAATATAACAAATTTTAAATATTTTTTATATAGTTGAAATTTTAGTTTATAAAATTTATTAATAAATTTATTGGCATAATTATTTTTAATAGTGTACTACAAGTAGTACAATAAAGTTTACCAAAATTGCAATTTAGAAAAAATTATTTTCTCAACAATCTTATTAATAATATTAAAATAAATTGATTTCTGTAATATTATAGCATTTATTGGATTTTTTGATATAAAAAATTTTTAAAAAAATAATTTTTTAGATTTTTAATAAATGTACTACCAGTAGTACAAAGGCTTAAATCCTATCCATTAATAATAAAAATGTTTACTAATAAATCATTTAATAATTAATAATTAGCTTATAGTATTATCAGTAATATTAAAAATCCGTATAGTATTGACAAACACATCATCTTAGAAAATAATAAGAGGTTTACCTAAATAAATACAAGTAAAATATAAAACAACAAAGAATTTATACTTAACAAGCACAGGCGGCATCTAAAAATCTATTAATAGGTAATAAGATGTCAAATTTTATCCTTACATACATTTATGACTATTTATTTAAATTTTTGAACCTACAGCCAAACCTCTCTATAGTCACATTCTATATAAGCACATTTTCTTTATAAGCTATTTTTTTAAAATAACAAACTATTATTAAATGCAGTCAAACCTCTCTATAGACACCTCCTAGATAAGCACTTTTCTTTATAAGCTCATTTTTTTTAAAAAACAAACTATTATTTATATATTATACGTGTAGTTAATCAAAAATAAATAATTTACATCTATAGCCGACTATCTAGTATATTATGATAAAATTTCTCTTAGATCATCCAATGATTCTTTTAGAGCTTTTTTGAACATGACGCTATCAGCTTCCTTGTATTTTTTATTACTACTAATACTAACTTTCAATTTATCTTTTTCAATAATGTAACAAATTCCATACGCATCAAGAAGATAAGTTCCAAATCCAATATGAAAACACAGTCCAGGGCTCATATTTGAAGTACGAAGTTTAAAATGCATTGATTGAGCATACGAAGAATCAGTAAATAAGGTTGCCTTAGATTTTTCTTCGTCAAGGATTGTGCTTCTAAGACCTATAAGATGAAAATACATTCCACGACCTAATAATGAAAATATATAGATAAATCAACTGCAGATAGAATAATTAAAAAATGAATCCACGTACGTACCATTCATAGCAGAAATTGTAGATTCAGTATGTGCTTTAATAGCCTTCATGAGTAGAGAAACTTTTTCATCTTTCTATTAATAAGAAAAAATATATAATATTGATTCAATGCCATATTCATATAATTTAATGTCAAGGAAAAACAACACATTTTACCTTGACATTTGGATCACAAAAAGCTTTAGTAAATGCAACAGTGACTACAGAGCAAGTTGGCATAATTTTATAACGACCATGTAAAAAACTTCTAGTAGAAACAATTTCAAAAGCCGAACATGGTTCACCATAGTGTTTATAATATGCAAGTTGAATTGCCATCTGAACAAATGCATCAGGGCTAACTTTAGCTATAATAAATCAAGGTAGTTATATATACAATTCTCTTTGAAAGAACATAAACAAACCAAAAAACATTTGCATTACCATTTTTCAACCAATCGGCACCATATTCATTATAATACAATAAAACACTATCAACATTATTAATTGCAGCTTGAATGTTAATTTGCGCTTGTTTAATAGTGTTCATTATAGAAGTATCAACATCCCATTTCAAGTATTGCGGAGGTGATAATTCAATAGAAGAGGCGTCTGGCGGATCTTGTGCTGGCTCACTTCATTTTTTACATAAGACATTAACAATAGTTATTCAATATATATTTATAGACTTTAAATAATAAGTACAGCATTTATGGACTTTAAATTTTACTCACTTTGAAATAATATAATCCAATAAATGACCCATAACCATACCATCTACAAGTGAATGCTACCAATAAAGTATAAGTAATAAAGAATTATTAGGATAAAAATTTAATTGAAGTTATGCTTGAATAATATCCCCTTGTTCCATAGCATTTTTGGTGATATAAAATAGCAATATATAAAACTTAAAAGTATATAAAAAAAGGATATTTATCGTGCTTAAATATGAGGATATTACTCAAGTTAGGATATAACCCAGAGAGGATATAACCCAGGTTATGACTGTATGCCAACATACCTCACCATTAATACCTGCACGTCCATTATTTGCAAAAACTAATTGAATTGATTTATCAAACCATCGATTTCGACCATTATATGCGTGAAAATAATTATGATGAGAAATATCTATATTTGTATTAGTAGGGTAGTCGTCCAACGCTACACTAAATAAAGCTGTGTCAATTGCTTCAAAGCTGGTCTTGTTTTCTGCAGATAAAGATTCAAGCTTTTTGCGAGCCTGAAAGATAAACAAATGAATTTAGCAAATACACTGTCTGCATGATTAGGTGAATAATTAACGACAAAATACCGTTGCCCATGTATCACGGTGTTCACCAGTCAATAACCCTATTGGAGGTTGTAATTCCGTAGTATTATTTACTTGATCAACCACAGATTGGAGCTGCCTAAAGTGCAAAACAACAATCAGCATAAATTCAAACGCTGGAAATATGAAAAAAAAAGACGAGAAAATAAACCTTTTAATTTCTTTAATAAGAACCCTTTCATCTCCTATACCTAAGACCTGAACTTTAAAAATTTGATCTCTAAAAATCACAATAATATGTTTAGCAATTTTAGGCCATGTTGTGATAGCACAATCGGATAAGAAATCAGGAATGCGCGTATATGTTTACCTTTCTCAGAATTTTCAATTGACAAGTCTGGCGAACCATAAAAAGGCTTGAACAAAAGTTTTTGATTTATTCCTTGCTCTCTCATTAAATTATTAAAATTTTCGATTCTGGTTTCTTTAATGATTTTCAATAAGCTAAATAAAAGCACCTTTCCAATTAGCTCTACTATTGAAGTGTCAGCCTAAATACACAGTTTAGGTGTTCAAAATATTTATTCGATTAATGAATTTATTATTAATTAATATAAACAAATTATAAATTAGCTAACCTTCCTAGTAATCCATTGAATAAAATCCGCACATTTCTTCTGCAAATTTACATCAGTTTTAGGACCTTAACGAATAAATGCAAATATGAATAACACATTTCAATAAATAAATATAGTTCTTATGAATTAATTTTGGCTTACTATATAGACAATTGAATGAAACATGTAACATGAATGGAAAGATATTTGCCGCTAACTTTGATTTGCAGAGATAGCTCATTATTTCGAATTTAATTGATTGTAATTGACATAATAATTCTTTTTCGCCTATTTTATATATAAATTAATTTTTAGGATTGACATAAAGCTATTGTATTATTATTACATACATGAATAGTAATCTACTGCATTCATATAGTGAATATAAACTATCCACTACCTATAAAAATTTTCATTAGCATTCTCTTTTTGCAGCATTTGATAAATGAGAAACATTCATTAAATATTTATTAAACCTCTTTTGTTTCTAAATCTGTAAATTTAAGACTTAATTTTTGAAAAAACTGAAAAGAAAGGTATAATATTAATTAATAAATTAATAATATAAAATTATATAATAAGAATGATTACATTAAACATACCTCGAGAAATATTTGGAATAAAATTTTTTTCAGATTATGAGATTTCAATTCAATATTTTTAAATAATGGTACTAGATGCGTAATTTTATCCTACAGATTTAAGGAAGAATTTTAAAGGTAAGGTTTCATAATACAGATATATAGGCAATAATGAAGCACTCGAAACATTATATAATTCAGTTATAAGAATTCAATATAATATTTTATCCTTATCCCTTGTAATAATTTCATCATATAGTCAGACATCTCTAAGTACACGCCTTTGGAACCACAGGGGAAAAAATAATATATGCGTTTAGAATTAATGTGCGCTTTAGAGAGGTAAAATTTTATAATTTGGACCAAATAAAGGCATGCATTTAGAGAAGTCTTTCATATAGCGTGCATTTAGGGAGGGTATATTTAGAGTAGTCAGACATTATTGAATTGTCGGAATTTTGAAATTTCAAGCTTGAAATGGATACCTTATGGATACCTTTTCAGTTAGACGATCGTAAGCCATTTTAAGAAACACAATTGTAAAATTCTTAACCAAAGTAGAACGCATAAAATTTTCAGAATAAACAAGCTCAGCAAGTAAATTCCATGGAAGTTTAACAGCTTTTGTCATTCTTTTTTTAATGTGATTAAGTATCTCTATGGCCTGATTTAAAATAATAATAATAAATTGTTAAACCTATATAAATCATGAATACCATATTTGATATCATCATTTTAATTGGCTTGCCTTTTTTCGCGCAATTTCGTGAGGACTTGCAAGTTCTTTTAGGATATGACTTAAAAATTTTGTTAACTTTTCCTCAAATTGAACATCATTTTCAGCAAGGGCAAACTGAATCTCAATATTTTCTAGCGATTCTATGTTCGAGTCAAATTATGATTGATTAATCTTTTATAAAATCTATTAAAAGTAAATTACAAGAATGCCTACGTATTTCGTTACTAGCCATTACGTATTTAGTTTTTAAATATGAACTTAAAATTCGAATAAAAGCATGATGTTATTTTATATTTAACGTTAAATTATGATCCCTTGAATTCTCGCCTAATCAGATCAGACTGTATCGGTATGTACATGTCGGTGCTGCTCACCTAACCGACAATCATTTCACCGAAAATTCACTTAGCCGACATCACATAGGGTTAGGATTAGCGTTTTATTAGTTGCAGGTGCATATTTTTAGTAAATTGTCACTTAGTGTGATGTCGGCTAAGTTAGCTGTTCGTAAAATGATTGTCGATGAAGTAAGGCAGATCCTGCACATGTATGCATACGTTTATACGTAAAACAAAGTAATTTAGAAACAATGGAAATTAATTCCGGATTTTTGGATAATTACATATATACAACGTTTATAATTTTAGATACAGCGGAGTTGAGTGGAATAAAAAACCATGAATTTAACAGGTTTTGACTGCAAAATATCCTAATTATTATGCATTAAATTTTAAATTTAAATTTCCAGTTGCAGGGAGGATTCAATAATTTTTTGATCTCAAATACAATCTGATTATCATAAAATGGATAGTACTGTAAATTTAAAGTTCTCCATGTTGAATAGCAAGATTGAATGCCACATTCGAACTGCTATTCAACACTTTCACATGACTTCATGGGTATGCATGTCCGTAAACCATGTGATAGTATTCAATGGCAGTTTGAGTGGCATTAGAATCATGCTATTCACATAGCGAATTTTTTAAACTTTAATGTAAATTAATATACAATGAAGCTTTAGTTTCTTACATTGCAGATCCAGGATTATTTAGAAAAATGATAAACTTGATTTAGAAGAACCTATTCACAACGCTTTATTTTATGCAGAACACTATAAGATACTTAGTGTCTAATTATAAACTTTATTGGAAACGGTTAACAAAGAGAAATTAGAGAGGGTTAATAATCGTCAAACTATATAATACATAATATTGCATACACTCTGTAGTAAGTAATCCATGTAGTATCTTTTTAGAGATGTTTAATTATTAATTGAACCTTAGCATGTTCATGAACTTTGAACTAAACTCAGACTCGAACCAATATACCAAGTTCAAGTTCAGTTCAGGTTTATAAGTTCTAGGTTCGGTTCAGGTTCAAGTTCTAAGATCTGCAAAATTTAAAGTTCAGTCAGGGTTCAATTGAACTTGAACCCGAACCTATTTGAACTGAACTTGAACTTCGGAACATTTAGATTTAGTTGGTTTAAATTTAAACAAACTGTTAAAAAAGTGAGTTAGTTATATTGGAATTGTCGTGATTTTTTTTTCTATAATGAGTTATTATCGTATACTTCCGAAATTAAGCACCCCCTCGGAGCAATTTTTATAGCCAAAATTTTCGTGATCCAATAATCGGATCTACGTAATTCTGGTACCATTCGAATCAGTTTGTCAAAACGATTCGAATGGTACGTACCAAAATTATGCAGATCCGATTATTAGATCACGAGAATTTTGGCTATAAAAATTGTTCCGAGGGGTGCTTAATTTCGGAAGTATACGGTAATAAAAATTCTGTTACAAACTTACTTGACATAAGAAAATTCTATTAAAATCTACTCATGGTTAAAGTTTAGTTAGTTTGTATTAAAATTATAGGGTTATTATTACAATTTTGTCAAAAAACTTGCTATTCCAGTAATATGAGAGTATACAGTTGAACTTATTCATTATTCTGATAACAAAAAGTGAATTAGTTTGTATTGTAATTATTGTAATTTCTATCACGAAATCTATTCCCCAGTATCTATCGGATATCTTACTGACAAAGCTTAAGGACAGATCACCAGCATCGCCATCAAAATTTCACTGTCTTTCATACCTATTAACACATTTTTGTGGCACTTGTCACATGTAACTAGTAACGTAACTAAAATAGTATCTATAGTAAGGTATAATTGGTTTATTGCAACGAATAAAAGCATACAGGAATTATCTTAGGTCGCTCTAAAGCGTCAATTTCAATGTGATTAGCAAGTGATTGTAATAGTGTTTAAGCATGATCATATTTATATAAAATTTTTATTGAAAATTCGAATATGAAATTGAGACGTAATTGAAACCTTCTCAATCACCATTTTCGATGTGATTAGTGAGCGATCGTACTAGAGCTCATTTATTACAATAAATCAAAATAAACATTTTAGTTGCTGTCCCCTATTGATTTTCTATCATTTGTCAAATGTCATAAGGCATCCAGAATCCACCAATTTCGGGTCCGTTGCTGCTGGGTTACCACATCAAATGAATAATTTGTTGACAGGATAGTTGAAATTTTGCCATTTGAGTGAAGACTAATAGATAATAAATATTAGTTATTATTTCTTGGGCTTCCGTTTTTTTTTTATTTTATATCCGTTGATGACGAAATGATGATCCATGGCGATTTCTTTGATTGTAAATTTTCACGGTTTGTTGTAAAAGTTTGAATGAAATGAAAACTCATTTAACATCTTTTACTATCAAGTTACGCATACTCATCATAATAATAACACGCTTAACAAATTATAAATATTTTCCGCTAAATAAAATTTATTCTCCGATACTTTTTTGACCCATTGATTGAGGCACTTGTGAACGACCTTAACCTAATAACAATAATGATCATATTATTGCGATTTAATCTGCTCGCGTATTTATTATTATAGAAACCGATTAATAATAGAGTTAGAATCAATCTAATCATTTGCTTAAATATTTAGTTAGGAAATTAAACAGATTTTCATAATGAAATTTTAATTCTTTTTTATTATTAAAGAATGTCCAAAAGATGTGCAACAGAATGATAATGCGGATATATTATAAATGTTTCTAATTACAAGTCCTTTTTTACTCTCGCAATACTGAGTAAAATCATTATATCATGATCCTGATCAAACAAAATGTAAATTATCGAATTCATAATGCGTATAAATTCCAAGATAAACTTATTAAATAATCCATAAGTATAAACCATCAATGGAATAGATCGAAAAAAGAAAAGAAAAGAAATACTCTTTACAAGCCTCAATGGACTTTTATAAATATAAGAGTTAAAAAATTTGAATTAGCAAATCATCTTAAATTCAGGCTACAGTTGACAAAGTATTTTTTTGCTCTCTACCTATATAGTTCTTAAAATTTATATTTATAAAATTTCATTATATATAAATAAACAAATAAACTATTTATCATGTTTTTTTATTAATTTGGAATATTTCATAGTCTTTTAATGAAAAATAAAACTCATTTCTAATTTTTTTTTCATATGAACTTTGATCGGATGAACTTTTATTTGAGATATCAAAACAAACAAGGTCAAAATGAAAAGCTGGTCCAATAAGTGGATGATTCCAAATTGCTTTATGTTGTGGCTTTACACGACTTAAAATCGAGGTTTGGATAGTACCATTTCTTAATGAAAAAATAAAACATTTATCACATGCTATAAGGTTATACTCTTTAGCAGGTTTTTCCCATCCAATAGGATTATACCCGCCAAGAATTTCATCAGTGTCTTTAACTTTTATAATTAAAACAACATTCTCTTTCTTGTCACATAAATTCCAAAATACGTTAGCAGTAAAACCATCTCTACTTCCACGAAGGAGTAATTTAAATTCATATGGATTATTTCTCGTAGAATATGTGGTAGTTCTTTCATCAACCCATGAAGTAATTTCTGCTGCATGCTCTTCGTTAATAATTGTTGAAAATGATTCTGTCATTCTTATTGGCAATATTGGCGTTAAAATAATTCGAGGTGGAAGGATTATTGATGATATTGGCCGATTCGGATCCACAATCCTTTTCATTATATCTTTCCAAAGAGTTTTTTCTAGGATTGGTTGATATGGTTGCACATTATCAGCAATATCGGTAGCAGATATTTGGAAATAACGAACAAGAGATAGACAATTTTGCAAAGTAGTTTTTAAAGCTTGAAAATTTTCAGTTGTCCAATTTACAGTATCTGATGGTAAGCCAGGGTTTTGGGCAATTCCCCATTTAATTACGTAATTCCAAATTTTTCCTTCTTCCATTTGTAAATCATCTCGTTTAATAAGAGAGATTAATGCATTTTCGTGAAGAGTAGTAAAGTCTTCAGAGTCAAAAATTTTATTTGGATATTTTACTACAATATCGTTACACCACTTTTGTAATTCTTGAAGTTGATTATTCTGAAAACTTTTTTGATAAATTTCAGAGAAATGTAAACGAAGCCAATGAGGTTGTTCTTTAATTAAGTAAGATTCAAGATGATTAGCTAACTCATTAAGAAAAAACTCATGAGCGAGAAACATTAACTTGAGAATAAATGATGCATCATGGTCTTTTAGCAAAATCACGCCTCCATATATATATCTTTATTAATTTAATAATAGGATTAATGTTTTTAAGCAAAATAAAACAATTAACAAAATTCATTAAATAGCTTACTTAATAATAACTTCAAATTGTTGAATGGAGATATGCTTTAAATTAATTGTTTTAATATTATTTTCATCTTTGCTAACGGTTGACAGCTTATTACGAAAATATAGAGATCTATATTTCAAAATAACCGAATGTGCTTGGAATATTTTAGTGTCAGGAGATTCTCCAACTTTAATAATTACATTAAAATCTTCT